ATTGTTGACCTTCACACAACTATTTCCTGCTTCATTGATGTCGCGAATCATGCCGACCACGCGCGGTAGTTTGATGTGAGTTCATTGCAAACAATGATCCAGTTTTTCTTCCGTTGTCGGTGGCCGTAGATTGACTGTGGGCGTAAATGCTCAAAGTTCTTCTGGACTGTTCTGACCCACCTTTTAAGGCCACAACGTCACCCTGCACGTGGTGCAGGACAGAGTGTTTTTCTGAACAGTTTCATGCCGGGTCGCAGCAGTGTATTACCGAACCATAACAATGGCGATCGTTGAAGGAACACGGTGGTGGAATGTTTGCCTTATAAACCCAACCTCAACGACTAAGTCACGTGAAGGAACTTGTGAAAACAAATACATATCCATAAAATTCGTTGATTGTGCTGTGTAACTAACAGCATTCTTGCGCAGGCACTTGTTCATTGAATGATCTCTGGGCTGCAGCGAACTTTGAAAAAGTGCATAGATTTATTCTTTCTCCGGCCACTTCGGGATCCGCGTTCGTGAGAATACCTAGTCTTGCATTGAAAGATACTTATGAAAAGTGGCGACTAGATCATTGGTCAGAGTGGCATTTTTTATTGTTTTCCTTTCTCATTTCCAAGTGCATACGGTATGAAAAATGATCTCACGTGAATATCAGTAGTAAACAACGGTGTTCAGTGAAGTGTGCTTCGTTTTCTGTCGCTGTACGATAATGCTGGTACGGATGATGATGAGGAGGAGGAGGAAGAGGAGTGTGAGGAAGTCAGTTTCACTCATTCACGATGGGGAGCTTGTAAAACTCTATTTTTCCTTATTTGTTCCACTTCAAGCTGTGTCAGACAATGAATGGTACAATCGGGGAGGCAAAGGTAGATAAAGTCCGAATCCGTGATTTTTTTGCGCGCGCTATACTGCCAGGTTTCCTAGGCCAACGCAAGTAGCTTTCTCAGCGGTCCTTAACCGGTGCCTTTAGCTATCCAAAGCCTAATCCGTAAGGCAGCGGGACAAAGCGTGGTATCCGTAACCCGCTGGGGGCTGGCCACTGATTGTTGTGGAAATACTGCACACCCGTTTCTAATTGAGCATGCCCAGCCCTGTACAACTGATGCCAATTCCTTGTTAAAACTACTAGTTGACTTCGGTAGCACGCGTGTTAACAATTGTGTATCGCCGATTCCTAACTCAGTTCAGAAGCTTTTTCTTGGTCATCGTAGTGATGAAGTCAGTGCTTCGTATAACTGAAGATGGACACCAACCCGCTTTTTTTCTTCATTTTTCTGTCCAAGTACATGCACACAGAGCATGTCGTTCTTAATTTGTTGTCCTCTTTTGTTACACAATTCCGCTTTGTGTCCTCCTTGTATGAACAACTTTCCGTGCCAACACTAATTGAAAGAAATTTATTTGTTTTTTTATATCCTGCGAGTTGTATTTTTATTCGTAAGTTTTTTCAGACGAAAAGCCGAGCAAATTTTTTTTAGTCAATAGTTTTCACGGTATTCGAACTACTATAATGTGATTTTATCTACGTATCAAGCGTTGCAGAATACTATTGTTTCCAGTTCTTCAACGGTGCTATTTTCTTATGACATGTTTTGTCACTTCGAGTGGTTTTGAGCGTTTGAATACTACCTCAGAATTCGGAGGTCTGAAGCCCCGCCACAGCCGGTCACTTTGGTGTTGGACAATAATCCCCACTGTCGCTTTCGGTTCGTGACCACGTCTGACCTACTGCAACCGTATATGATTCTTCAGCTCTCCAAGTCTCAAGGTCTGCTGGCCTGTTATCCCTAGTAGTTAAGTGGGTCTTTGTGGGTATGGAATATATCCCTTATGCTAGACTCATCCACACCCATGTAACCAAAAGCTCTGTCCATTGGATTCGTTCTTTTCATCTACGTGTACGGAGCCGTGAACTATTTGGGGTATGTGACATAACTCTTCAAAACCTAGCGTTAGTTCGACTTTGGAGTCACTCTCTCTCTCTCTCTCTCTCTCTCTCTCTCTCTCTCTCTGAACTCTCTGAACTCTCATTTGGCCATTTATCAGTAAGTAACTAGACAGTATTCCAAGATCTTTTATTGAAAGTCGGTATAGAGTATATCCATTCCACCACACTGATGCAGAAGCATATAATGAAGAAGTCACGCAGTATATTCACAAATTGAAATCCCTGGAATCAGGCACTGTACAACTGTTTCATCTGACTTGCAAGGAACCCTGATCGACGCAAGTCGATGATGGTGGTGGCCAACTGGTTTAGGGTGTTCATCGGCCATTTTTCTCCGGTAATGTGACATACTCGGAAAATAAGCCCTGCCGTGATTTCTCAGGATTTTTTCAATGAAAACTCGACCACGAAAAAATGATTTAGTCAGAAATGCATTAGTGGAATATGCTGATGAATGAGACCTGATGTTCCATGGTGACCCAGGTTTGCAGAATTAGGACCAATTAAAACTCAGTTTGCCACATTTCCGAATGGCCAAACGTACTTTCTGATCCGGCAGCTTTGATATTCCATACGTGATCTCTCTCGAAGAAGATCGGTAACACCTGTATTCAAGTCTTGTTTGTAGTCACCACTTTCCTAAATATCATCTCTCCTATATGATTGATACAGATGAGACTGGTATTTGCCGGGCCAAGGATCTAGAATGACAATTGAAGAGAGAGGCGCGTGGTCTGTCTACATTGCGTCAATGGGTTACGCGAGTGCAATGGTTGTATCTTGGCAGTCCGTCTTGATGGAATTAGAGTTCCACACCGCTGGTCATTTCGGTTGAGACAACCATTAACCCTGCGCTCGGTGCGGTGGTTTTGATTGATATTTCCTAGCGCAACCTTAGTGGAAAATAATGAAAAAAACAAGATTATGAAAGGAGCAATAAGAAAACTACCAATATTGGCATCAGGTTGACAAAGAAAGCTTGTGCATAAAAGTCTTTGCGGATCATGACACCTAGCCATTTCTTCCGATCTATCTAACCATAGAGTTGTGGGATCTCTTGGACCCCATCCAGGAAGTGTAGCATGCTCTACTTGACCAAGTGCACGGGTTGCTTTTCATACCTTTCCTCCCTATCATGAACTGGCCACCCTACTCATCTTCCAACCGTTACCCGCCTCAGAGACCATTGCGCACCGAGGAATTTTGTTCGGGGGACATGCGCAACATGTTCCAAACATGTGAACCTGGTGAGCCTAAGTGCTCCATCAAATGGTTTGGTTCTTCAACCCAAAACCCTCCATCGAACCTCAGGGTTGCTTATACGAAGTTCCTGATGATTTCAAGCAATGCTACGAAGATATCGGTGTTCAAGTTCTGCGGTGGCCATGTTCCCGAACCAAGCGGAGACAGCAGCCTGACTGCTGCAGCGTACATTCGACCCTTGGTAGTTAGACGGATGTCACATCGACACCATAGATGACTGAGGTTGTCAAAAGTCAGACGCGCCTTCTGTATGCGCTAAGACACCTCATCCAATATCAGACCGGCTGAAATGCAGCTGCCCATATAACAGAACTGATCTATTTGGTCTGTAGACTCTCCAGACATTGAAAGGTCTGGTGCTGGACCAACCCAATCCTGCAACAGCATCTTGCACTTTGAAGGTGCAAAACGCATACATAACATTGCTACGCAGTCCGTCAAGCTGTCTAAAAATGCTTGAAACTTACCTGGATCTTTATTTGGGATGGTGCCGTCCACATACTCAGGGTCTGATACTTTCCACCCGGGAAAAGTTCAGTGCCACCATCCTTACCAGACAAAAGCGCGGTCACCAGGACCATATCAATCACAAAGTTAAAGAGAAAAGGAGGAAGGGGGTAAGCCTGATGAACACCACTTTATGGCAAACTCCGGTGAAAGAGCACAACAAGTCCGAATTTGGCTTCGGCTATTCACGTAAACAGACATTATGATGGAAATGACTTTTTCTCTGTGATCTGTGTCGAATTCTCGCGCCTCGTACACACAAAAATATCATTGTGATAACCCGTGAGAAGCAAAAAAATGGCCAACGTTTTTTTCTAATTGTGTGTTTTACGGTGTAGTACTCTTTCCCAGTGATATATATATATATATATATATATATATATATATATATATATATATATATCGGTGTCACCTGGCTCGTTACCGCGCCCGACTTATTGAGGCCTTATATCGTTCCCCACTGCAAGTTTCGAGGTCATTTTTACGATTATCCCTGATAGTTTAAGATGATGTTGTGGCTGTGAGGTATGATCCTTCAAACGCACTCATCCACGAACGTGTAATAAAACAACTACTTGAGTCCTGACACAGGGAGTGTGTCCCACATGTTAATCAGTAAACTATCCGAATTTTTTGTCAACCGTTTACTTCGCCCTGACTAAACCCGGATTAGCTGTTGGCCGTTGATTTTAGCAGTTATCAGCAACACAACAATCGCCTGTCGCAATGAACTTCTCGGTAGAGAAGCGAATGTAGTACATACACTATTCAGAGCTTCCCAACGTGATGAGTTCCAGTAGTCGTGTGTTTTATGTGCTCGAAATTATTAGTACAAAAATTAACTTTTGTGCTACATTCATTTGTAATTACAGTCGCAGCCGATGAATAAAAAAGCAAGCAGTCGAGAAAGTAAGTAAGGGAGTGAGCGGAGTTGAATTCCCTTTCACGAGCTTGTCGCGCGTTCATTCGGTTGATGCCAACCAAGGTTAGTCAACGAGTAGCGAGGTGGATTAGTCGACACTGTCCGAGTTGATGCATGACGGAATATTAACACAATGCTGGCGTATCAACAGGTATGAAGGCGATATTGGTTGATTGTTTGGACAGCAAGTGCGCGTATACGAGTCTTTGTCTTTTGGTGCACATGACTGCTTAAACTGAACACAACTGTGTAACTGATAGATTTCTCACCTACCCTCCATGCCAAATGTTTCGCGTTACTTTAATCACTTCATATTTTCCGGTAATCTTTTCCCTTTCTATCCATCTATTCCAGGCGGCAAACAAAGCACAAAAGTATGAACGAATCTACGAAAAAAAGGCGAGCACTCCGATTGATATGCTCTGTCGTGGCTATCCACCAGAATTTGCAATCTATCTGACTCATTGTCGCAGTCTTCGTTTTGATGAAGCACCTAACTATGGTTTTTTACGTAGCAACTTTCGTAACCTATTCCGTACATCTTCCTTCGTATGGGACTACGTATTCGATTGGACTCTGTTACGACAGAAAGCATCGGCTATGCAGCAGCAACAACAAACGCACACTGCACTTCAACATACTGTTGGAGCCACGGGTGCGACCGGAACTAGCCGAGATCAACATCCAACCGCAACTGGTGCATCCGGTATCATACTGACCTCGAATACAGCAGCCACCGGTCCGGCGGTAACTGGGGCCGCTGCGGTCAATTCGAATGCGGCCGCGATTATTGCGGACAACGGCACCAAGGGGATCAAAGATTTGAGTTATACGTACCAAGCTGAAACAACCGCAGCACGGTCTGATTAGTCTGATTATCGATGCAAAAAAGAGATTGTACAATCTCGAATGTATTTATTCCAATTCACTGGCTCTGGTATACTGACAAAGCCACTGCCTCGTGCCGCACATTCCGCCAATTTACTGTTCATTTGTGACCATAAATCACCGACGCCAACATCACAACCCTTATTTGTTACCGGAGTGGGATTGTAAGATATAGTATCCACTCACTTTCTCACAGCGATTCCTGCATATCGCGGCAGACGTGTATTATGTACTCTAGCTATTTCGTTTACCACTGATTTTGCTGCTCCTGACACCGATGCCATCGCCCCACCACGGCCACGGTCACTGTTGCCGCCCCTGTTGCTAAATACCGGTGGTGTTGCTATTGTTGTTTGTCTCGAATATTGTGATTGCTTTATGCACAGTAATTTGCTTTTGTTTTCGACTGCTTCTGCTGCTAATATATCTACTCGTATTATGACTCAAATCTAGGACTTTCATTCACATGCCTCTCCCTTCATTTGTCACACACACGCAAGTCTTTCCGTACTACACACAAATACAGACTGAACGAATGACCACCGCAGCCACTTCTGATATGCTGTTCCCCACACAAACATTCAACATCCTACTTATTCATTCACTCACGCACGCAGAGCACGTCACCGAACTGTGGTGGTCACGATTATAGTTGTAACTTGCGCTTCCGTTGTTTCATTCAGTATGTGATAGGCGCATTCTGTCGTCACCAATGACTCGCACATGCAAAGCTTTAACCTACCCACTGGTCGGACTTTTTCCTCTTTTATCAATGAAGCCCGCACTATGACAGTCATGATCATCACCACCATCTCTTCCACCTTACCACTTCTGCTCCGCACACTCTCTAAAGCAGCTTCTGGCCTCTCTTTGCGCACCGTCTAGTTTTCCAGCCACTAGATCGGGGCATTCCATGCTTCACTTCTGTGGGCAATCCGTGAATGTTCGTTTATTCTTGTTCGTTTGATTAGTTGAGCACTAATCATTCAATTCAAGAGATAAATCGGATACACGGCTTGCCCCATGTGTCATATTCTACTTCACTGGTTGTCTTTGTGATTTGTTCTCACTCTTCCCGATTCTTTTACCTCCCGCAAAGCACAAACGCATCACATCACCTAACCTGCTTAACCGTCCTGAAAGTTCCTCGCTTCGGTTGGACGGGTATTTTATTTTCTCCCATCTCTGTCCATGTCATTATTAGTGGTGTTTTTCTCGAATGGAATTACTCTTTCACCACACATTGGAAAATTCCCGAGGATACACGTTTATTCGGGGATTTGTCCACATGACCATCATCTTCATCAGTGAACACATTTCCCAACTGGAGACATGGACGAATAAGCTCCAGTGCAGATAACGCACAGGCCCAAACCTGAGAGACCAGGGATACACACGGACCACCACTTGCTCTTTTGTTTATCGATTTACAGATTTAAATTAGTCGGCGCGCGTTCTTTTTTGTTATCTTACTCCATGTCTGATCTACCAACAGGATCACGAGGTTTTTTCGCTCCGCCTAGCACGTACACATCGTTTGAATTAGGACAGATAGTGTTGTTCTCCGGTTTGACTGGTCAGCTCTCTTGTCTGTCCTCCACTGGTTAGAGTCGGAGAGCCCGTTTTCTCAGCGTCTTAGGATGGATTGTGTTCGTCTGTCCACCAACTTTCAGTCGCGCTTGATGTTATGTTTCACTACTCGTATTCCCGTTATTTTTATTTTTCATTTATGTTGTTGTCTGTCCGTTCATCTTTTTGAACCGACTGAATTCGCCCACACTATCTTCGCTTCGTGCTGTCTCCTTTCTTTCCCTTTTAGTCTGGGTTCATCATCGAATCCCAATGTGATTGTATCCCATCCAATTATTTGCTCTATTTTTCAAGTCTTCCTGTCTCGTTGCAGTGCACGATTATCTGTTCTCTGTTTGATCTTTCAGCTGGGCTTGATAAATGTGCATCTGTGCCTATACACCCGGGTGCGTGGGTATCAAGTTCGTTAGTTGACTATTATGTCGATTGTGATCAACGCAGGCACGTGATGCATTGCGATTTGTGAAATAATTCTCATCCTTGACACTGCATCCCCAACCACGGATTGCCTTGGTGACCCTGCTCTCTCTTCGCTGATTTTCTTGTCCCCGGTCTGAAACTGTATAGCCCCGACGACAGTCCTTAGGCCAGTTTCGCACGCATGTATTCAAATGTGCGCTCGCCAACACACTGAATAAAAAAACGTGAAAACCGACTTCTAACTACCGTTGTGTTTGGTTTTAAACGTAGTTCCGATTTCCCCGACGCCTCTTTTGTTGTAAGCCTACTGTCTGTCTGTTTTTCGAACTTTGTGTTTCTGTCTATCTCTGATTCTTTCACCCCCAACTACTCCATCTCATACGTTCCCTCTCAACGCGCTGGGTCTTTAGTCATTCTTTTCTTTTTTGACAAACGTTCGTCAAACTTAAGCTGGTAACCATTTGAACTGAGCGTGCGCAAACAGCTATTACCATCGTTGTAGCCCACTATCGCCTCGGTACATTCTACACTACACGTTCCCCGTTGCCCTACTCGGTTTTCACCTGCTGACCATGTGTTGTGTAAGGCCAGAGACGGCATTCGTTCTTTCTGTCGGTCACAAACAAACGCGCTGGACCGAAATATTTTCCCGTCTCAGCTCCACACCAACCTAACCCCTGACCGAAATCTTCCGGTCGGACATCTGTTGTCAGAAATGTCTGCTTAAGAAAAACGAACGAATGTGCATGTTTTTTTTTGTGAATTGTGGGTTCCTGTGTAAAAAGTTTACGGACGAGTTGTTTTTCGTCTTTCGTGGAATGGTCGGAATATTCGTCTGATATAACTAAAGGTTACTGAATTTAAATCAACTGCGACCACGAAAAACGATGTGATACCGTACTGGAAAATTTGCATCCGGTAACATATAATGAAAGTATTCGTCGCGTGCCCTCTCACGTATCAAAAGTACTTGGTTCTCTTATTCGTCCTGCGTTACTCTATTCCACAACAATTGCGTAAGTTCAAATTTTTATCAAATATTACGAAGAACTATAAAAAGCGAATAAAAAAGTAGGATATCATCACCAATTTTCGCTAAAAATGACTTTTGCCCTATGTCTCTCTTTAAAGCAGCCACCCATCTACACGGTGCGTCAGAAAACGCTCCCCTCCCCCTTATAAGCCATGGTGTTGAGGTTCAACACCGTCACCTCGGAATATTTCAAACGAGCCCAACACTGTTGTACTTTTACTTCATACAGTCTGCCGTTGCATGAAATTTGTTATAAAGGTCTGACACTGTGCTTTTCGGACTGAAAGCTCACACATCTGTCTGGTCTTTCGAGTTCACGTGAAGCTCACAAAGATAGAGTTCGCTTGGCGTCCAATCAGAAGGTAATGCGCAAGGAAGCTACACCATGAATTTACGAAGCAGTTTGGTCGCTGAAGACGGACGGTGATCAATCGGTCCTACAATGGGGATTCATCGTTTAGATCCATGAGTCAGTATTCTGGCTACTCAAGCATGATTGTCGAAGCTGTGTTTGGGAACAAATCTCCGAAACTAATAAAAGTGATGCGATGACAGCAACAGCACAATGGATAATCAGTGCATGTCTGGGAAGCCATCTGATGGAAAGTTCGAAGCGACCTGGTATTTCTGGACGGTACTGCCAATGGTCAAGTTTCCCTGAAAGTCCTTACCCAATATTATCTTGTCACGGATGAGCACAGTTAACAAAGCGGCTATCAGGACGACAACGCACCTGTATGTCGTTTTTTTCGTATGCAAGTTAATAGTGCATCACGGTACAGAGACGCTTCTACCGCCTCCTCGATCACCCAATATCAGCGCAGCCGAAGATCTGTGATATCACTTTGCGGGAAAAGTGGATCAGAGGTGAGTGTATAGATCTTTAGGGGATTTAAAGACCGGCTTGTAAGGGGAGTGGGACGGTATGCGACAGACACTATAATATTGTTGACAACGAGCATGACTGGACAGGTGGACGCTGTTATATAGCCCAAAAGTGTCTCAGTCATATACCAATGAGTGATCGCTTGAGAACGATCGCGTTGCTCACAACAAAACATTGTGGTTTCAGTTGAAGATTTCACTGATGTACGATGCTTTTGCATTGGGATGTTCTTTTTGGCGAATAGTGTTCACCTTTTTCCGGCAATTGTTTAGCCGTGATCCATCATTCCTTTAGCTTTGATGCGAAGCCCTCAGCCATGCCGCTGCAAGCCAGTCAGATCTAAAGTACTGGAATATTTAGACGTCAAGAAATGTTGGAAAAAATTACTTTTTAAACCAAGATTCGTGTTGCAAAGCTGACTGAACAAATGAGTGTGGCGCACGTATGCTGAGTACTCGACCGTTGTAATGGCATTAAATGCTGCACCACAAATTGATTGAAGAATATTTAAACGATTTGCCTGGATTGTAGAACCATGTGGTACAGCCCGTATGGCTGCATTTTCAGCGAGCCAGTTGTTGATGTACTAAAAATTCAAAACGAATTAAAGTAGAGAAATCGAACGATACAGTTTTCTGAATGTCTGTTCTAGTGGATCGAAGACGAGTCTCCCCAAAGCAAGGGTAAAATGTCATAAAGAAGCGGTCCAGTTGGTAAAAGACCGCAATTACAGTCCCTGATAAAGATCAAGACTCCATAGGAGAAAAAGAAGAATTGGGTCCTTGTCTGTTCATATTCGTGGATACAATGAAGCTCCGAGGATAATACACACAGCTGTCGTAAGTACATACCCATCATTGTCATAAATTTATTTATGTTGACACGTTTGACTAAATCACCATCACTAAAGATTCATGTCATACGGGCTGTGCCACATGGTTCTACAATCCAGGCAAATCGTCTAAATATTCTCCAATCAATTTGTGGTGCAGCATTTAATGCCATTACAACGGTCGAGTACTCAGCATACGTGCGCCACACTCATTTGTTCAGTCAGCTTTGCAACACGAATCTTGGTTTAAAAAGTAATTTTTTCCAACATTTCTTGACGTCTAAATATTCCAGTACTTTAGATCTGACTGGCTTGCAGCGGCATGGCCGAGGGCTTTGCATCAATGTTAACGGAATGATGGATCGTAGCTCGCAGGTAAGCATCTACAGGTATTGGCTTAAGT